AATAATTCACCCGCCACAGAAAAAACACACCAGGAATCAGAATTGTGGCACAAAACAAGGAAGAAGAGCATTAACACCACACTGCCTGAGTGATGAGCTGAAGGATGTGGTGACGAGCAGATGGAAAACAAGGGCTGAAATACTGCAGAGATAATGACTAGATAGGAGACAGGTGTGTCGGCTGATGATCAATCAGGAGACAGAGGAGCAACACACACATAACACACACACACATGAACACACAGACAGAAGGACAGACGGATGAGGGAACACAGCAGCCGTGGCCAAGACTGTGACACTTGAATTATTATTAATTACATTAGAACAAAATAACAAATGACAGCTAGTGTATTCATTTAAGATCCCATCGCTCAGAGTCTGACGCTGACTGAGGATATCGATCTTCAGAGTCTTCATGGAAAAGGGGTTTACTGGAAAAGGTTCATGCTCATATGGTTTTTAACTTCATATTGAACTGAAAATACAGAGTCCTTTGTGGGGAAAAACGATCCTGGATCTCATCCTGAGAAGAATAGCATCAACACTCCTGCCAAGCTCAGTAACCACTGATATCAAGAGGCTGATCTGTGTGAATCTGGTCTAAACCCAAATGAAAAGAACACTTTTGTCACACAAAACGCAATGTTGCACAGAATTTAGCAATGCAGTATTTGGAAAGATTTGAATGCGGTTGCCATGACTCTACACAACAGAACACAAACACACAAGACACAGAGATAGTTTAGATTGTTTATTTTGCTTGGGTTCTTTAGCTCTTGCTTATAGGAATGATGACAATCATGATTATTCCAATCACAATTTGCATACAATCCACAAAAGATTGTTTTGAGGATATATTTGGCATGATCTGAATGATCTTGGATCTGAGCTGAACCATCAATGAAAGCAGCACGACGGTCCTATTGTGGAGCAACACTCAGAACTGTCCGGATGCTGTAGAACAAAAACAAAATACAAATTTCAAGACTTGCAGTTGTGAATTTTCTAATTATGCAGCTAGTTAGTAAATGATGAATGATAGTGGAGTATAGGAGTATACCATTTGCCATGTTTCATCAGTTCAATGGCGTTGTTGACCTGGGCCAAGGTCATGTTGTGAGTGACGAACTCATCCAGCTTTATCTTCTTGTTCAGGTAGGCTTTGACCATCTCGGGCACACCGTCCTTACTCTTAAATCCTGAGTCACAAAAAAAAAAAAAAATGCACATAAAGAAATTTGAACAAACAGTCTGATCTTACTGTATGGTGGAATGAAGGCAAAGATAGAGCTGAGAGCTTCCTGGGTACTATCACAACACAAGCACCACCTATCTGGGTAGTATGAGTTGAGACCAGACCATTCTCTTACATTAACAGTAGTGTGTAGAATGGTCTGGTTGCACTTCATTATCATTCTGCTATACAGTGGTAAAATGCTGTGTCATGGTTGTGTGTCTTCAAACCCATCCAAGTTGTCTTGGTTGGGGCGAAGAACAGGATGCACTGACAGTACTTAAAATAGTGACTGGGGAAATGTGTTGTTGAAACATTTACTAGCAGGGAGGGGAGCACTGCAATTTTAAAAAAAGATAATTCACTAAAAAAAAGAAACTAGTGTGTGAGGTTGCTGCCCAGATGTTGTTGTGTCCTGCAATATGAGGGTTTTGAAATGGGTAACATGAAACAAGCGAAAGAAAAATGCACCACAGATGAGTTTGATTAACTTGTTTCCCTGGTCTCCTCCAGACATCACAGTAGTACCTATGTTTATCCTTTGAATACTGTGTAATTGCCAGCCTCCCCTTCTTAGTTACCTTTCCATTCTCTTCCTTTTCCTGTTAATTTGGTCTTAATGTTGTACCCCTTGCTTAGTTTCTTTGAGTAAAACTCTTTCTTCTCTAATTGTCTGGCCTCCTCGTCCTCATTGTTGTCTGTGCATGGGGTCACTACGTGGGCTGTGACAGTTTGTCTCACCTCCAAACAGGGATCCCTTCCATGTACGTCCAGCGATGAGCTGAATGGGACGGGCAGCAAAGTCATGCATGTCTGTCCAGCCAACGATTACAGCAACACCCCAACCTTTGACACAAGCCTCCAAAGCACTGCGCTGGATGGAGAAACAGCACAAAGTCAGTGGACTCGTAAACACAAGTGTTTTGTTCTAAAATATATATAAACACGTCTGCCTCACCATGACTCCCACATTGCCGCAGCATTCCAGGGAGTAGTCCACTCCCCCATTGGTCATCTCAGACAGCACTTCATTGATGGGTTTATTGTGATCTTTGGGGTTCACAAACTCGTTAGCGCCAAAGACCCTGGCCTTCTCGAACTTCTCTGGATTGATGTCAATAGCTATAATCCTCTTTGCTCCTGCAACATAGCAGCCCATGACTGCAGCCAGACCCACAGCTCCCAGACCGAACACAGCGCATGTGGATCCTGGTTCAACCTGAAGAGAAAGCGACGAGGAGTTGGACTTTTCATTCCTCTGTACAGTGATAAACACTAAACCTCCCCAACTACCCTGGAGCCACGGACCCAATGTTTCAGGTCAGATTCTTGACCTTACAAATATGTGATGTGGGTATAAACACATGTTAAGGGACCATCCAGCGGTCAAACATACACACCTGAGCAGTATTAACTGCTGCTCCATATCCAGTGCAGACCCCACAGCCGAGGAGACAGACTTTGTCCAGGGGAGCTGCAGGATCAATCTTGGCCACAGCAATCTGGTTCATCACAGTGTACTCTGAGAAGGTGCTGGTTCCCATAAACTGCAGAATCTTCTTCCCCCTACAGGTAAACCTGGAGTCTACTGATGACATCACATCGTAACGATCAGCAGCCCTGAACAGAAAATGTATGACAGTGATTAGAAATGTTTACATTGCATTGCTCTGCACAATCTGTACCATTTTTAGACAGTTGTTTTGTGTATATAGCGAGTCCTACGCCACACGTTGAGACATGGTGCTTAAATGGTTGATACGCCACCAAACTAGTCTCACCATCCATGTTCACACTGGTTGGTCTTTGGACTCTTACAGAAGCGACAATCTCCACACTGAGAGATGAACAGAGGGATGACTTTGTCTCCTGAAAAAACAAATTGACACATCAAATGAACTTTAGACTAACTTACAACAGAACAAATGGAAACAAGTTTTTCTTTAACTGGACTGAGTTGCACAGTCTTTGGTCGACTCATCGCCTCGTCTTACACAGAGACAAATGAAACAGGTTGAAGCTGACCTGGCTGAAATTCGGTGACACCTGGACCAACGCTTTCTATGATGCCACCTCCCTCATGGCCAAGGACTGCTGGGAACCCATCCTTATTCTTACCCTCAAACAAGTGGTACAGGTCTGTGTGGCACACCCCAGTTGCCACAATCTGCACAAAAGACAACAAACACACAATGAAAACACAGAAGAATCTTTTGAACACATGCATATTGAGCCTTTTGTGTAGCTTTATTAGTTATATTTTGCTGACAGAGGTGAAGACTTTCCAAAACCTAAAGATTTGAAGTGTAACAAATGGACTGAACTCTGTCTTTAGCTGTTCTATTTTAAGATGCTAATGTTAGTATGGTCAGCCAAATACCGAAAGTGTTACACCCTAAGCTAAAAAGCATTTCAATACTGAAATACCTCTATAACTTCTATCTTAGCGGTCAATGTCTCTGTCCTGATCTGTCATGGATTTTGGGGATAAAATTTAAAGGTTAAGAAAAGCTGACCAGACATAAGAAACCTGCTTTTGTCTACTTGTCTACAACAATTTGTGTTACATCTTCTTACACTTGCAAAAACAGTGACATTTTAACTTCAGCTTGGTCCACAAAAGAAAACATATGAGGCTCTTATGACTCTAAATTTTTCCATCTACATTTACTTCTAATTGGCTTTTATGAGTAATCATATTGTTTTGTTCTTTTTTTGTGCCCCTTCCTAACTAAAGGCAGATCTAAACTAACCAAGGAAACTTTTCCATTTATATTCAGAGGAGACACTGCAATCCAAGAAAAAATGTAATTAATAGGTATCTTCCTTAGTTTTGCATTTAAATACGGAAATTATCTATTATCAACCAAAATTTGTACCATTCGTATACTTTTCTAGAATCTGAGACAAACAGAAGGTACGTGTGCTTTGATAAGTAGTCAGGGAAGAAACCCACCCCACCATGACCTCCACTGATACGTTTAGTGATCTGCTATATTGCTCCTCATGCCTCCCACAGCCTGTGATTGAGAAGTCAGAGCCCCAGCCAGCATATTAGCGGGGTTATCTAGTGGGCACCTCCTTTCACTGATGTTTCAACCTCGCTGTCCTGTTTCTGCTGCCTATCATTTCCACCGTTGAGATCAGAACTTCCTAAACTGACAGTGGCCACATCAACCTAAGGTACAGACTGTAAACACCATAGCTTTAGCTTGCCCGGGAGTCCTGACTTCTCTCTCTTTCCTATCCCCTCTGCAATGTCTTCTCTCAACTGTTCTATCCGATAACTATCCTTTAGGTCCCCATTACACCACCGACCCAAACTCTAGCTTTTCCCTAATGGATGGAATTTCATCCTCTTCTACATGAAACTTCCTCTCAGTTAACTTCCCCCAGGACAATAAGAGGCTCCTCAACTTACGAGGAGTAATCTTCATTCTAGTCCATTTGAGACTCTCATTTAACCTCTTTAGTAACCTTTTTTGTACATGGCACTGTTGTGGTTACCAGTACCATGTCATCCATGTAGGCACTACAAGGTGGGAGCCAAAGCCCATCCAACCACCGCTCCCCACCCACTTTGAAGTTCTAATAATGACCTCCATTATTATAGTACACCCTGCCATAATGTGGAGTTGTGAAACCAGCCGTACCTACACACATTCTAACATCTTGGAAATATGCCTTCACCAGATTCAAAACCACCCCTGGGACTTTAAAAAAGTCAAAAGTCCTCCAAATGAGGCTGGGTGGTACTGAACTGAACGCATTGGCCAGGTCTAAAAAATACCACATATAGATCTTTTATCTGTGGCTTAGCTGCCTGAATCTGGTGCCATATCACATTGATGTGTTCTATGCACCAAGCAAAACCTAGGATTCCTGCTTTCTGCACTGTAGTAACTATGAAGTTATTCCTCTCTAAATGATTATAATTTTCTAGGGATATAATCCTAAACTGGCATACATTTGAAGACTCTTTCTCCTTGGGAATTAGGATTCCCCCCGGCTCTACACCAAGCCTTTGGAATGACTCTACAAGAATCTAAGAACATCAGGCGCGCTTTTAAAAACTCAGTAGGGGACTCCATTCAGCCCTGGGGCTGAAGATGCCTTTGCGCGCCTTACTACAGCCCCTACCTCCTTCCACCGAGCTGGTCTAACATCTATGGGATCCTCTATCTCTCCAAGCAATGGCATGTCAGAAGGAAGGCCCATGTCTTTATACTTCGTTGGGTCTGAGTGTGTCTTTTTTAGGACTTAAATCTGAACACTGGGTAAAGCCAGCTTCAAAAATCTTGTTTCATTTTATTGACATATGCAAATGAGGTGTTACCTCACATAAAATGTACAAATGTCCATGAATGTGAAACAGATGTTATGGAAGCAAAATTGCCCAAAATGAGGAAACAGTGTTTTTCCTGTGGTTTCTTTCCTTTACCATTCTAATTGTGACTGAATGTTGATAAAAAATTCAGTTGTGTATTGTGTTTGTTTGTGGTATATCCGCCTTTTCACCACCTCGACTACACTTTTTGGGAAATACCTACAATTTCTAATCAATAAAGTCCTACGACTCAAATATCTCACTAATCAAAAAGCCATCATTCACTAATTCTTACACATAAACACAGTGAAAAATCTTCATGTGTGGATGTATGGGCATTGTTGCGGACATCTCTCACCTTGATGCGGACCTCGTTGGCCTGAGGTGGAGCCACTTCAATCTCCTCAATCACCAGAGGCTTGTTGGGCTCCCAGGCCACTGCTGCCTTGCACTTGATGACCTACAGGAGCAGTGATACCGGCATGAAATTTCACATTTTTGGGTGCTGCAGTGGTTTAACTAAACCAGGGTGGCACTCTGGGAAGATGCTATGAAACACTCCAAGCACCCATTCAGACAACATATGCTGAGTTAAGCTGTGGATAAAAACGTGACTTCCCTGATGCTTCAATGTCAAAGCAAACACTCATTTAAAGGCAATAAACTGACTGACTTGCATTTGTTGATTACATGTACACAGCACAGTAAAGAGTACACTGTCTTACATACTGTTGGCCCCAATAAACATCATAGAAAACACAACAGTTTAAGGTCCATGTGTGTTATCTGGAAAACCTTTAATTTGATAAAACAGTATGACTTAGTGTAGGGTTGGCACATTTACTATTACTGAGTAAATCATTTGTTGCGGTTGAGTCTCTGCTGGGAGTTCTTTGGCCTTCACTATTATGTTTTTTGGCCTCCTACTATTTGGTCTTTGATAATATCCACAGTTATCTAAAGTTGTCAGGATATTTTCAAACTGTGTGAAAGGTTGAATCAGGACATGCAGTATTTCATTGAAGCATTTAACTATTGTACATTTTATTGTAGGTAGAATACTAACTCCAAGTCGAGTGAAATAAACATGCATATGCAAAGAGATGTAAGTTAATCACAACACATGAGAGCACTGAAACACTTCTTGATTGCATTTTCAGGTATGAGCAGGTACATTAGATGCACCCAGCCACACTGTAACCACTAAATGAACCTCAAACATTTTATGAACACTTGAAAGTCGGATTTCCAAGTAAAATCTATTAGTGTGAGGTTTGCTGCATAGATTTGTTTTCTTACCTACTTTGCTTGAGTTTGCAATATTATTCCTTTAAAACAAGTAAAATTTTGCACCTACCTTACCAGCTGTAGCCATGTCTGCAGCAAAGTTAAGACTCAAAAAAAGAGAGAGGAGTTGAGAAGGTGAAGAGCTGCTGGATTGCAGATCGAGTAGGAAAACTGGATCTGAATTCGATGCTTAAATACTACTGCTGCTGGGTGGGGAGTTGCGCAAACATCCAGATGGGCTGAGACTTTGACAGTTTATGATTGTGGTTGGACAATGATGACTGTAAAAGATGAAAGGAAAGAAAGAAAAAAAGGGAAAAGAAAGAGAGACATACAGACAGAACCATTGTTATCATTTCTGTCTTTTTTAATATTTTTTTTTGGCCTTTATTGGATAGTGTAGTGAGAGAGAGACAGGAAAGTAGGGAGGACATGTGGGAAAGGGTCATGAGCGGGATTCGAACTCATGACCTCCACATTGGGGCTGTAGCCCTGCACATGGGACGCCAGCTCAACCAGGTGACCTATAGCGGCGCCCTCTTTCTTTTTTTTTTAGATCAGTTCTTAGTGCTGTTGATGCACATTTATTTGAATGATAGCGAAAGTTCCATCGACGCTCAGTCCACAATAATACATACAGGCCAAGCGCACAGTTAATCCTTATAGCTGTAGCCCTGGTAATATGTGACTGACCACGTTTGACAGTGTTTTTTGAAGAGCAAAATTTTCCAGCAAATTAAAAGCAGCAGTTGCTGAATGAACAGCAGAAGGTCTGTGCGACACATTTTTGGACAACGTTAAACTCTTGTGAGCCGCATCTTCTCTCTCATTGCTCAGTTTGTACATCCTCGATTCCCCTCTCCTACCAGAGATGTAAGCTGAGGAGTCGAAGAGGAGAGCTGAGAAAACAGGAGTGGAGTCAATGGCCATCTAGCAAAATAAGGCATCCTTGCTTTGGAGCTGTAATTTCAGCGTAACATCAGTTAACTATGAAGTATGGCACAGTGGCACCTCCTGTCCATCGTTTAGTTAAAAACATGTCACATCAGAA